GCAAGTCTTGCACATGCTCTGAATCCTGAAGCTGGGAAGAACCAACGTCTCAACCGCAGACTCCAAGCTGTCTGTCTTGCATATGTTTATCTTAAGCTAGGTTAGGATGTTTAGAGTTTTAGGGTTTGGGGTTTTGGGTCTGGGTCCAGTTTGGTGAAAGCACGAGACTTGGAAAAAATTCCGAGATTGAAACGTTTTGATGTTCCACGTCTCCAAACTTCCACTTGCTGGCAAGGCCACATATTCTCAACTCCACATTCCACCTCAAGTTTTCGAACACACACGTAACAATGAAAAGTAAGGCACTTACATAAAATAACAATCTAAAGTGCACAACTCGTGCTTAACAACTTTCACACTTGCAGAGCGTGGTCTATGGCAGAAGCACCAAAGCGCGAACGGGGCGTGATTACGGTCGGGCCAGACGCTCTCTGAAGGAAGAAACAACCATGGACGTCATCATGTTTGGGCCAAGGGGGTTCTCTTGTCAGAACGGCTTGGACCATGGACGTCATCAAGGTTGGGCCATGGAACTTCCTTTTCAGACGGCTTAAACCATGGACGTCATCATGCTTGGGGGGGGAAGGAGGGAAACAACCTAACCTAACACTAACCTAAACCCTGCCCAGCTTCCCCTGATGAGGGGACCTAAACCCAATAAGAACGACTAAGGCTGGGCCCCTAAACCCGACCTAGCCCGCTTTCCCCTAAAATTTGGGGAGCAAGGCCCTAAACCCTATGCCGGGTTTCCCCTGCAAAATTGGGGACCTCGGCGAAACCCTATGCCTGGTTTCCCCCTTCGGGGGGCCTAGGCAGGTATGTCCTAAACCCCAAACCAAGCCCTGAAACGAAACCACCCCCACACGCAAACCGCAACCCTAGGAACCGGGGGGGAGGGTGGAGCGGTGGGGGGAAGTTTGAGCCAGTCTATACACGAAGTTTGAGCCAGTCTATACACGTCTGTGAAACACATGTCTGTACAGAAACATGCCAGACAAGGCGGGAAAGCATTTTGGCCGGGGTGACATGAAAGCCTGGCTACACCGAACACACCGGCGAAGCAGGTTGGTAATGATCCTTGCCTGCAAAGTCTAATGAGTGTATGGTATTCCTGCGCATAATGCAGTTGTGCAGGATGGGCATCGGGACCAAATCCTTCAGGAAGCGCCTCGGAACAGGCCTTTAAGGACGGAAGGGTGTCGCGACAAAATCTGGTCCTGGATACTCTTGGCCCTTGGCACCGGGTGCCGGCGCACCCCAATTAATTACCTTCTGTCGGCATCACATGTGCCAGAATAAACACTGCTGCCAGAGATGCAGAGGCATGGGCCGGTGAGCAGCAAAGTGGACGATGCCTACTCTCAGCATTTCCAGTCCAGTATATTCGCCAGGCGTCCAGTATGTGACTTGACAAGGGCACTTGCAACTTCGACCCCAAAAGCCCCCCAGAGTTGGAACCGTGTTGCAACATTTCCGGCGTTCACATTGAAGCACAGAGGCCATTAAAGTTCTGTGAACCCATATGTGATGCGAAAGCAACGAAAACATCCATGCACCAGGCATGGATGCCTGTCCCCCCAAACAACCACGACCATCATTTTAGGCGGGGTTGAGGGATGGGGACAATCAAAGCAAAAGGAAGGGTCTGCAATGCTAGCGTTCAGGAGCTGTGGAGCCCAATACAATCTGGCAGTCGACGCTTGTCGAGTCTGCTGTCATTGGCTTCGAGAGAAGAGGAGCTGGCGAACATGTGTGACGCGGCACCCGTGCAACTTCCCGGGCCAGGCACGGCAGAAAAGAGTTCATGGGGTCACGCGACACTTGTGCGATCGATCATTTTCGATATCCGCTTCTGCAAACGTGCGCTAAGCAGCACCGCACTGGTGCAAAACCATCGTCAATGCAAAAGTAGGGTGGCTAACCGCGGCATCGGTTTCGTGTCTCGGCTACTGTCCCTGAGACAACTCGTAGTATCCGCCCCCGTACCACCTGGTGTGGTGCCCTGCCCACTTACTGCTCCGGTCCAGGTCTTACAGCCCAATTGACAATGGACCGGTGCCCACCTCTCGACAGAACCCTACGAATGGGAACGAAGAAACTTCCAGCGGACCAAAGTGGATACATACTCAGCTTGGCACCTGAGGAAATCCGGGGACCCCCGAGACTCTGCCAACAAACCGCCGTGATTTCGAAAAACTTCACAAACAGTCACGGCCACCAGGCTCACACGACCGCAAACTTAACTTGGGGAATTTGGGGCCGACCTGCCCCCTCCCCCCTCCCCCAAGATCTGCATGATCTAGGGCATCCGGGATACAAGCGAGGACCGTTCTTGGCAATAAGTCTGCAAACCGATCACACATGCCTGGCTGGGCCCAAAGCCTTAACCCTGAACCCTGCATCTTTAAGCTTGAACCAAGAACCCTAGACTATGGACCCTGGCAACAACGGGCTCTCTTGACTTCCGAAGTTTCTATGCCAACATGCGGGGGAAAATGTCTGCTCACATGCTGCGGAGCTCTGGGTCACGCTTAAGATCTGGGATATAACCCAGAAAAAAGCAAGAGGGTTCTGAAAGGGCCCTTGGCCTTCTGAGTGGTACTTCCCGGTGACTCCGGGGGTCGTCTTAAGCCGGGGGGCCCCCTAATCCCATCTCTGAACTTTGGGCCCAATCCACTAGGGCTCAGGGTTTAGGGTTCAGGGGCCGGAATGACCAGAGGGTGAACCGACCTGAGGGTTCTCTTCGAGAAATGGCCTTGAGCACCTGTTATAATTGCCCAGGATAGGCAGGGGATACCTTAACACAAAAAACGGCGCAACTCGAAACCGCAGAAAACAAATGCCTCAAACATGCATGCGCTAAACCCTAAAGCCACGAGCCCAGAAAGCCCCGAACCATGGATCACAGTGCAGTTGACTACTACAGGGGCGTTTTTAGTAGAGTAGGGCCTGGGGGTATAGTAGGCACAAATCAGAATAAGGACATTCGAGGAATTATATCTGGATCCTTACAGACTGGACTCTGCCTGCGGGCGCGTCCCAGGCGCTTCGCAAGGTGGAGCGCATCTGCCTTAAGCATGGCTGCAGAGGATTTCAGGGTGTAGGGCGTTTCAGGGTTGAGGCTAGAGAGTACAAGCCTAGACTCTGGAACCAAAACAGACAGTCCTACTTGGGAGTATATTGGGATTATCGAGGGATCACAATACCCCATAAAGGTTAATTACCTACCCTACTGCTCGGAAAACAGAAAACCCCCGAAACCCTACTTGGAGGATCATGGGACTTAGTAAGTAAGGCAGTAAGGTTACCAGTACCTTAATTGGGGTTATACGTGGTTATTCGTATAGTTACCTTATTTTTTATCCCACTTACTAAGTCCCATGACCCTTTAAGTATAGATCCCTAACGAAACCCTGATAGTCCCTTCAAAGGAGCCCTGAGAACCCCAAAACCCAAAGGCCCCAAAGCCAGGGTGCCAGCTAAACCAGACCTACTTGGGAGTATACTTTAGGATTTAGGGTTTAGGGTTTAGGGTTTAGGATTTAGGATTTAGGATTTAGGGTTTAGGGTTTAGAAGGGGCCCCAACCCTGTAATAGTGGTACAATAGGAATATAATAGGGCTCTAATATGACCCTTATAGTCACTATTACAGGGTGGGGGCCGCTTCTAACTTTAAAGTATACTGCAATACCCCCCAAAGAGGTTAAAGGTCTCCCCTGCTACTAGGAAAACAGATGCCAGGGTGCCAGCAGGATCCGTGCCTTAATGGGCGTTATAAAGTACTTATAAGTATAGTTACCTTATTTATAACCCCACTTACTAAGTCTCATGATCCTTTAAGCAGGGTGCCAGCAGGATCCGGAGATTCCAGCGAAGTGCACGGAGAAGATCGTCCATGGCAGCGCTCGGCCAGTCAATCCAAGGTTTTAGGTTCAGGGCTGAGGGTTTAGGGTTTGGGCTGAGGGTCTAGGATTTTGGGGCTTTAGAGTTCAGGGTTTAGGGTAAGGCCTGAAACCCTTCTTCGGGTTTAGGGTTCCTTTAAAGGGTACTATGTATAAGGGCTCCTTCAAGGGATCTATAGGGTTTAGGGTTAGGCTGTGAACTGTGGGGGTCTTGGGGTTGGGGCACAGGTTTGAGGGGCGATCATGCAGGTATCTGGATCCAGGGCGCCTCTGGGGCAATGGAGGGCCAAGAATGACGGTATTGATTCCAGTTCCTTTTACATCGTTCACTTCCTCCGCATTTTAACAAATGAACGTGTATGAAGGTGAGATCATGTCGCGTGGCATTAGCTCCTGCATCCTTCGTGATCTTGCGTCTTGCGTCGCTGAACTGGAGCCGAAATCCCAGCAGCGGAACCTCCTGGAGCATAGAAAAACAGATCTCCAAGGATGGTCTACGTGCTCGTAGGGCAGGGGGCTTCATGAGGATCTTAATAATAATAATAATAATAATAGTATGGCCTCTGAATATTCTGCATGACAAAGATCCCGTAAGTCGACGTGTACAACATACATTGACATACCTCTACGACGTGTACACAAATGTGGACACGTGCACACAAACACTTTAAACATGCCTGCCTACCCACCGACTTACCTACCTGCCTACCTACCTACATACATACGTAGGTATTCTAGACTCCACTTGGAGGTTCATGGGTAGTTATAAATGGGGTTCTAAGTCCCCCCAATGTGGGTTATAACTATAGTTATCCTTCTTTTAACCCCACTTATAACTACCCATGACCCTCCAAGTAAGCTTTTTACAAATGTCCTGGACCCACTTGGAAGTTTCCGGAAATAGGGGATCCAAAAATCATAGTACCCTAAACAGTAGGATCCTTATTACAAGGACCCCAAAATAAAGTACCCTCTAATTTTCAGAAACTCTAAGGCCGCATAGAGCCCTTTAACGGAACCCTTATGTATAGTACCCGGAACCCTAAAAGGTACCCCCCCCCTAATTTTCGGAAACTCCCTCCTGGGTCGATGCGAGCCTACGCGTCCCCGCAGAGGCCGGCCGCGACTCGAGGCTCGGTGCGGAGGTGGAGGAACCTTCTTTTCATGGGCACAAGATGGGTCAGACTAGGGCTGCTCGAAAAAGGGTCTAGGAGGTTTAGGGTGTAGGGAATAGTACTATACCCCCCTTGGAACCATAGTAAACATCCTATCTTGTTGATATTCTCTTGGGTTTTGTATGAACAAACATAAAAAAAATACTCCTAAGGAGACCATGGGTTCTGATGGGCGCAGAAGATTGGTCAGAACAGGGCACATCTAAAAGGTATCTAGAAGGGATCCAAGGAGGTTGCTACATAAGGGTGTAATATGGGGTCCTGAATGACTAGACTAGGTTTTGGGGTAGACTGTAATATGTTTCTGTTTTAGGGAACAACTGTTTTCCTTTTTTGGGGCCGGGGGGGGGCATGCTATGAAGGTTACTAAGGTTTATTTCCAGCGGTTTGTAGGGATACAAGGGTTCTCTGGGGCTTAAGGGTCCAGAGCCCCGAAGAACGAGATAGGGTTCAGGGTTTAGGGTTTAGGGTTTAGGGTTTGGGGTTTAGGGTTTAGGGTTTGGGGTTTAGGGTTTAGGGGTTTAGGGTTTAGGGATTTAGGGTCTGGGCTTTAGGGTTAGGCTTGGGATGTTGAGGAAGTTGGATTTTTAGGAGCTTGGGGGTTCAGGCTTAAAGGGTGTATGTGTTCGTAGAGTTTAGGGTTCAGGGGTGTGTAGTAGGGTGCTTCAAGGATCCCAGGAAGTATTTTTATCAATATTCTTGTCATTATTGCTGTTGCTACTATTATTACGACTATTACTGCTATTACTAGATAATACTTATTATTATTCACTATTATTGCTATCATCCTTATCATTGTTACTATTATTATTATTATTATTATTATTATTATTATTATCATTATAACTATTACTATTAGAAGCAGGTTTTGGATGGGGTTTAAGGCCTTTCAGGGCTCAGTGCGAAAGTCCATGATCGCACCTGCGTCGCTCTGTTAGAGAATCGCATTCCCGCGCGACGACAGAGGTCTAGCCTGCAAGCACTCCACCCTCGGGGTTCATGTTGCACCTCTGAAGTTAAGGGGTTTAGGGCTTAGCTTCGGAAGTTGGGATTTTAGCGCTTTGGGGTTTAGGTTTTGTCGTAAAGCTCTTGTAACCCCCCTACCCCCCTTTAACCCCAAGCTTTAACCCTGAACCCCCTTGACCGCAACCTTTAACCCTTAATCCCCTTAATCCCCTTAATCCCCTTAACCCTCTTACCCCCCATTAACCCCCTTAATCCCCTCAACCCTCTTACCCCCGCAACACAAAACTTTAACCCTGAATCCTCTTTACCCCAACAGTTAGCCCTTAATCCCCTTACCCCCGCAGCACCGCTCGTAAGGCTCCGGCTCATCCTCTGGGGTATCCGAGGAGTCGAGTCCAGGTTTCCGACCTCGTAGAGTCTAATACCGAAGCGGTAATAATTAGAATAGGATTCCCTTTAGAGCGTTCGTAAAAAGGGATCTGTAAGGGCTACTGTAAAGGGGGCAGTGTGAGGGTTATAGTGTAGGGGCCTTAGCAATTAGAATAATAGGATCGGCTTAGGGCTTAGGGGTTCGCCGTGATAGTTAGAATACAGTTTTTAAGACCCCGATATCACACGAAAGTTTCCTGAGCACGCCTGGCAAAAACGTGAGGGTTTAGGGATTTAGAGTTAGGGGTTCAGGGGCCTGGTGGGGGCTTAGAGCGTGGTGGTCGAGGTGGTCGAGGGTTGAGGCAATTGCAAACCGTGTAAAACAGGTGCGTTATGAATAATTAGAGCAGGGTTTTGAGGCGCTCTATAGTATAGTTATTATGAGGAACCATTTAGGCTTCCAAAAGCAGCTCGCCCTGCTGTCTGCTCCACCCCCCACCCCCCACAGCGGGCGAGTACCTGCCACTTGTCGACGCGGCGATCGCTAGGAATGTACCTCCAGAGCAGAGCTCCCTAATTTCTAAGCCCGAACCCAGAGAGCCTAATACCCCTTAATTAAGGGAGATATGGCTTAAATTACAAGGGGCTTCATATTATGATTTAAGCTATATTCCTTAACTAAGGGGGGTTGGGCTCTCTGGGAAATTCCGAAGCCCTGAAGCTTTCAACCCCACACCCATCAAGGCCTGGAGCAGTGGCTCCAAACTTCCGAGTCATTCTCACTCCAACTGCCTAGGAGCCCTTGTTGTTAAAGTCCTCGTTTGTAAAGCCCTTAGAAAACCCGCATACATCCTGCAAAGCCAGTCTAGAGCCACCTACAGAAAGTCCTGAACCACCATGCCTTCGCTGAGACGACAGTGGTTTATTAAGGGCTTAGGGGAGAGGGATCTCCCATGAAGCCACAGACTGGCGCACTCCAAGATAGGAGGAGGCGCAGCCTGTCGAAGAGCAGCTTCCCCGATGGCTCGGCTTAGGGGCGTTTGGGGGTATTCGAGGCTTGGAGTGAAGGGCTCTCTAGGGTTTAGGGGTTTAGGCTTTAGGCCTTGGGGGTTCGGGGTCCCTACAGCCCTAAGCCCCAAGGCCCTAAAGCCCTAAACTCCATCAAACCCTATAGATCCCTTATCGTACCCTTCTGGAGTTTTCATTTTAGGGTTGGGAGACTTTGGGCTGTCACCAGCTGCCGATCACCTCCCCTCGGGACCAGAACCTGTTACCCTAAACTTCACTCCCCAGAGATCCCAATACCCTAAGGCTCCAAAGTTGTTCCTTTTTGGGGTTCGTATATAGAATCCTATAAAGTAATCCCAAAAAGGAACTACTATGGAGCCTCTGGGTATCCCTTAATCAGGGAATCTACCTTAAATTTTTTGGGGCCTTTGTTTTTGTGGTTGAAGGTATATAATCCTCAATTAGGGGGTAGTGGGATCTCTGGGTTCACTCCTCTCTCAACAGAAAAGCTAGACCTAAGAGTAACCTAGAAATAAAAAGGGTGCCCTTTTTGGTTTAACGGTGGTTTTAAGGGAACCTGAACCCTAAAAAATGGAATAAGGGCTTCCTCTGGGGCCTAGGAAAAGGGCTTCGCTGAAGAAAACACGACAGGCCCAAAGCCCTAAGCTCTAAACCCTGAACCCTCAGCCCTTTACCCAACCCCTAAACCCTAAACCCTATAGATGCCTTCAAGGAGCCCTTAATCCTGTAAAGGAAACCGTAAAACCCTAAAAACCCGAAAAAAGATAACCCAAAGCCCCAGCTCCTTTTAGTACCCTTCCCACCCCCTAAGTCCTCGCCCCCCCCCGCCGACCAGCCCTGGCCCCGCCTTCGCGCGGCCCTTCGCTCTCTTCTTGGGATCGGGCAATGAATTCGAAGTCTTCGACTTGTTCATCTGGCCGGGTTTAGCGGGGGTTTAGGGGGTTCAGGGTCTAGGGTGAAGGGATTCTAAAGGCAAAAGAAGAACGTGAATATAGGGTTGAGGGCTTAGGGGCTTTATTAGGGATTTAGAGGGTTCGCATAGGGTTTTGATCGGGCCTTAGATGGTATCAATGGGCTTATCGGGCTTTCAGGGGTGGTGGATGTTGCGGTTTCTCGGGTTGTTGGGGATCTGAGGGTTTGCGGTGTTTATTTAGCGGAATGTAGGAACTTAGTGAATTTCTGATTCAGGACCCTAAACCCTAAACCTTTCCTTGCTGAGTTCATCTGGCCAAGAGGTTGAAGGTTAGGGTTGGGGAGCTCAACGCCTTTTGTTTGGACCCAAACTCCATGCCCTTAAACTCTAATATACACCGCAGACCCTAACAGCACAGGACCCGTCACCCCAAAGGCACCCATCCATCCAGCAAAACCAATTAAACCTTAAAACCCTACTAAAAGCCCTTAAACCTTAAAACCTACTAAAAGCCCTTAAACCTTAAAACCCTGCTAAAAGCAGCCCGCACCTTCTTATTCAGCGCCGCGAGGTTGCCCGGCCCGCCGAGGCCGACGGGGGGGCCGCCCACCGCGGGCGCCGCCGGGGCAGCTGGCACAGAGACTTCTGACTACCATGGGACTTAGTAAGATCTTCGACCCTAAACCCAAGAAGGGCCCCTTAAATGAATCTATAGGGGTTCCTTAAAGAGATCTATAGGGTTTAGGGTTTAGGGTCTACTTGGACGATCATGGGACTTAGGAAGCAAGGTTATAAATACGGTAGTTATACTTATAATTACTTATAACCCCAATTAAGGCACTTTTCCCCCCTTCCTCAGTCCCATGATCCTCCAAGTAAGAGAACTACAGGGGTTACTATAAAGGTGATAGCGGTGCCTTAAAGGGGATCTATAGGGTTTAGGGTTTAGGGTCTACTTGGAGGATCATGGCCAAGTAGGGGCTCCGCAAGGGTTCCTACTTGTAGACGGGCCTCTCTTTTTGCGGATTGCTTGGGGTTTTACGGTTGCATACACCTTTTATAAGGATTCCCTAAACCCTAAACCCTAAACCCTAAACTTTAAACCCTAAACCCTAAACCCTGTGGTTATGAGTTATGGGTTGGTCACGCATCCTTTCCGGGTTTCAGGGGCCTCCAAAGTCTTTTGAAGAGCTTCGGATCTTTGGGGCTTGGGCCTCTTCGGGTTTTAGGGTTTAGGGTTTAGGGTTTAGGGTTCGGGGCTATTCGGGTTTTTAAGGCCTCAAAGCTTAGAATAGTGGCTTGACACCCTTATTACAATAGGGAACCCGACGGAGCAGTGCTTAAAAATATTCAGGCCCCTTTTTGCCATGCACTTCGTCCTGCCCCGAGACAACTGCCGCCCCAAAGCCTCTATGCAAACCAAAAGAGAGACCGATAAGGCCAACGCAAGACCCAGACAGTCAAGCCCAAAGCGGCCCTTGCAAAGCCTGATCCCTGAACCCTACTTGGAGGGGCAGGAGACTTAGTAAGTAGGTTCTAAGTAGAGTTATAAGTACCCTAAATGGAGTTACCGCAATTATCATCCTACTTATAACCTACTTACTGAGTCCCCTGCCCCTCCAAGTAGACCCTAAACCCTAAACCCCATAGATCCCTTTAAGGAACCCAGATCCTTTTTTCGGAGCCCTTTAAGAACACCTAGGTCCCCTGCCCATCCAAGTAACCCGTACGCACCTGTGGGCTTTTCCAGCGGCACAGAGGACACATCTGGAACGGCCTGTGTCGGGACATTATACTATCTTGTATTATAGTATATAGTAGAGTACCTTAACCGACCAAAACCGACTTTTTTGTAGGGTCCCTATAAATCCCGTATTAGGGTTTATACTAAGAACCTACAAAAAAGTAGGTTATGGTAGTTTAAGGTAGGTTTTATAGTGATATTACATTGAGCCTGAATCATTGCTCCTGCAACCTGAAACCCAAAGTTTAGGATTTAGGGTTCTCAGGCACTCGCCCATTCTCCAAACCCCAAACCTTAAATAAAGACTCCAAGAAGCGGTCATGAACTTGAAGTTTTTTGCCAAGCCAGCCCAAGACCCCTTCATCAAGGAATATTCCTTGCATCACCAAACCAGACTTCTTGTCATCGTTTAAAGATTACTGCTTAATTCACGCGTCTTCGGCTGACAGGAAACCCTGCCTTATAAACCCAGTAGAGCCCTCAAACCCTGTAAAACCTAAGATAAATCAAACAAAGACCCTTAAAAACCCCATAATGCTTTTAAACCCTTAGGAAACCCAGCAGAGCCCTTAAACCCCATAAAACCCTTGATAAATCAAAAGAAGACCCTCCAAAACCCCATAATGTGACCTTTAAAGCCTCAATCTGCCAAACCTTAAACGCCAACCCCTAAACCCTAATATAGGGGCCCTAACAATAGGGTTAAGGGTTTAGGGTTTAAGGTTTAAACTATAATTTTTATGGACCCTAAAACCCTAATACAGGGGCCCTAACAATAGGCATAGGGTTTTAACTACGCTTTAAGGCCCCCATATTAGACGTTCGTTCCGCGGGCCTTCTGTGGAGGCCGCTGTGTGGCACCGCCGGCCGCAGCCGCCGTCTTGGTCCAAAGGTGCTCAGACCTCAACGGATGTCCAAGGGTTCTACTTGGAGGCTCGGGAAACTTAGTAACTGGTTATTTTAGGGACTTATAAGTACCATAACCCCAATTAGGGTCCCTTTTAGGGTACTTATCAGTCTACTTACTACCCTGAACCCCTAAACCCTATAAACCCTATACTACCCCTATAGAGCCCTTTAAAGGAACCCTTAAAATCCCCTTTAAAGGAGCCCTTACTAAGTCCCCCGACCCTCCAAGTAGGGGTTTCTGTAGCATCCTGGCGGTCTACGTCTTCATTCGTGTAGTATTTCTGCCAAGGGTTTCTGATCGTTCTAACGCTTTAGAAAGGATTGCTGAGGGTCTTGCTGCGTTGTGAACAGCTCTTGTAAAGTCTCGCGCCAAATCCGCAAAAATGAAGTTTGAGCGTCGTTCGTAGTATAGATGAAGGGTATTGCTTGTGCTGATGGACGAAAGCCTGCACTCTCGATGATACGGAAGGTACTTACCATCGTTTCTCATGGTTTCATATTTAGTCTACTCAAGATGATGCATCACATTTCATGCAATGAAGTGTAACTATACTCAGGAATCTATAGTGTAAGTGTACTAAGGAGTTTATAGTACAATACGTATACCAAGGTAATTCTGGTGTACGTATACTAGAGAATGAAAATCCCTACACCCTTAATCCTACTAATTATGCTCAGGACCCCCCAAAGCCTGGACCGTTACTCTGAGCCAGGGGAGGATCTAGAAAGTAGATCCCTTAATGGGGGGTTCCTATAAAGTACCCTTAGTAGTATAGGGCCCCAAATTAGGGGATCTACTTTCTAGATCCTCCAAAGGGGGTCTGGGTACTCTGAGCCAGGGACCTGGAGGCAGCAGTCTCCAGGAAGGGATCCGCCTCCGCGTGGCTCAGCGTCTGATCCACCTGGGGCTGAGGCTTTGGGACTTTTAGGGTTTGGGGTCTGGGGTTAAGAGTTTTAGGGTTAGGAGTTTTAGGGTTTAGAGTTTTAGGGTTAGGAGTTTTAGGGTTTAGAGTTTTAGGGTTAGGAGTTTTAGGGTTTAGAGTTTTAGGGTGTGAGGTTTTTGGTTTAGAGTCTTAGGGCTTTAGAGTTTTAGGGTTTAGTGTCTTAGGGCTTCAGGGGGGTTTAGGCTTTTATGGTTTAGGTTTAGGGTTTGGGATTTAGGGCTGTAGGGTTTAGGGGTTTAGGGTTTAGGATGTTTTCGGGTTTAGAGTTCAGAGTCGCCGTTTAGTGGGTGGTTGTACATGCCTCTTCACAGGTTTGAGAAGGGGCGTTACAGGGTCTCATGAAGGCTTCATAAACTAGACCTAAGAGTAACCTAGAAATAGAAAGGGTGCCCTTTTTGGTTTAAAGGGGGTTATAAGGGAACCTGAACCCTAAAAAAGGGAATAAGGGCTTACTCTGGGGCCTAGTAAAAGGGGGCTCCTGGAATTCAGATCCCGGCTTAAGGAATCCGGCTTCGACGTCAAAGGGTCATGCTTGAAAGTTTGTTGCTTTTTATGATAGTTTGTAAAACTTGCTACGAAACCCTTGGGCCTTGGCTCTAAAGGGCTTGAAGCGATCGCCGACACATACAAAAGCCCTTAGAGGAACCCTTAAAGATCCCTCAAAGGACTTTAGAAAGGGTTTCTGCGGATCGTGGGCACTGCGCCGAGCCTCGAAGTACGAGTGAAGCATCCCTAAACCCACCGGAAGGCAAACTACCAATAACTCCCTGAGCTAGACGGTGCAGTGCTGGGAACACCACCGTGAAGTCAACATCCTTCGCCAGCTGCTCTTTCGCCAACTGCCAGCATGGCATGGGGGTGGAAAAATCACCATATCTATGAAGACGGGGGAGGCGATAGCAACTTCCTTCCGTGTTGCAGACCGTATTGACTTAAAGTAAACCTTATAGCAAACTCAAGCAGAGTAGACTGGGGGAAGCCTTGGTCTCAATCTTTGGGCCCGCCTGCTCACTGACATCCAGCGACATGCGAAGCTGATTGCCACTATGGACGTTGATGGCCTCGGGCAAGGCAGCGCGACTGCCCCGGTCCCACTGTCCACTTGACGGGAAAGGCTTCTGAGACGCTAAAAGCCTAAATTACATTGACGTATGGGAACATAAGGCTTCTTACTTGGAGGGTCGGGGGACTTAGTAAGTAGGTACTAAGTAGACTTACAAGTACCCTAAAAGGGACCCTAATTGGGGTTATGGTACTTATGAGTCCTTAAAATAACCAGTTACTAAGTCCCCTGACCCTCCTAGTACTATGCTTCACGGTGCCTTTTTTAGGCGCAACATCTTGGGCTCCCGTTTTCTGTCACGATGCAGAGCCCACGGCCCCCTCGACAGTCTTTATGACGGCGGTCACTCCGTCCATGTCACGCAGCTGCTCCTCTTCAGAGACTCATGGAAGCTACGAGTTAGAGTTTAGGTCTTAAGGCTCTTTTGGAGCTCCTTTTTATGTCCGCCAAGGAGCTCACACTAAAGGCCCGCATCGTGGACTTACTACGTCTTCGGACTCTTCGACTCCAGTGTCACTTACAACAGTCTCGTGCATGATTTATAGAACCTTTGTAATAGCCCCAATTTAGGGGCCTTAATAATTAGAATAGGGTTTTGGGGCCCTTTACACGATAGTATACGTAATTATTAAGGCCCTTATAGTACCCTTACCAGCAGTGGCCTTTCCCTGAAAGTTCTCTTCCGGGTCTCCTCGATTCTCTTGATGCCATCGGTTGTGAAGCAGTTCCTGCAATCAGAGATTCCAGGTCTAGGGCTGCATGCTCAAGAATTAGGGATTGAGGGTTACAGGTTGCAGTTTACTGGATGGCACACAGAATTTCGCTTCATGCAAGTATGGGATTTTCAGAAAACAGGTGATCTTAGTATGGAACTCCTAGTAGTATGATCCTGCCTGTAAGGACGGTATCCATAACCTTAAGAAACTCCCTTGTCCTCACACGATCAACTGTAAAGCATAGCACCCCGTCCTTCGAAGGTCAAAGGAGCGCATGTAGGGCAACTGGAAAATCACCTGCTGCCGCTTCAACCCGTCGATGAGTATGAGTATGAGTATGCGTATGAGAATAGTATTAGCTTTAGGGCGCAGGGCTTCGGGGGGTCTGTACGATTTTAGCAGGGCTTTACAGATCTTGATCGGGCTGAAAGGGGTTCATGGGCACTCAAAGGGCCTGGGGGCCTAGCAAGTCGGGTAGAAGGCAGTTTACAAGACCACACCCTCAAAGATTTTTGTTCTGACCCTAATTAGAGGCTGCTTACTGAGGTTCCTGACTCTCAAACCCTTACCGCACGGAAAATCAAACGCTATGCGTCCCCTAAGAAGCCCTGCAGACAGCGTATAGCATCTCACCTGCCATCTTCCAACAGTCTAAGCTATCTGTGGCACTGGAAATTACATTAGGGACTGCGCAGTGATACCACTAATCGTTCAGATCTCTATCTTACTCAGACCGCCAAAGGTGTCGTATGCCTTAGTACCCGGAAGGTGGTAGATGTAAGGGAACCCAAAGGAATAACTTCCGCTGAATTAATGGATGCCGGATTCTCTGCGATTGGAGGGCAACGATCAGTTGATTGCTACAACCGGAGCGCGGGACGCCTGCAGCAGGGTATTCACGCAGTCCTGGCAAGACAAGGCGAGGCAGAGCAAGGTTGGCCTATACGACAAACCCTCTTAGTGACAGGGAACGTTCTGTAAGTTATATTGCGGGACCGGCATTAAGGAATATACCTTTGAATCTGGAACATGCCTTGAGATCTTTCTATGGTTTGAGGTAAAGTCGAGTGAGGTTTTAGGGTTTAGAGTTTCGGGTGTTAGATAAGTTAAGGGGTTTCGGGTATTTGGTGTTTGGGGTTCGAGTTCCAGGGCCCCTCAAACCCCTAAACCCTTCGCACTCGTGTCGGTTGGATTAAACCAGGCTCAACTTTAGGTACAGCCCCCGTACAGTAAGAGTCTATAATAGGGCTACTATTAAGGTCCTAATATATCTATATAAGGAATATGATTCAACTATTACTGAGTGGGGGAGGTACCCAAGCTCAACAGCAGAAAAGAAGGCATCTTGCAAAACAGGCCCGTCAAACATCATCGAGGCCGTTGTCGATCAGGCTAAGGACATAGACCTGCAATCACAGCGCTTGGATTTCAGGGTTGAAGTTTAAGCGGTTGGGGTTCCTGATTCAGAGTTCAGGGCTCAAGGCTTAGGGCATAGGGCTTAGGATTTGTGTAGAGTTTTCGGGCTTTCGGGGGCAGGGCTCATGTCAGGTCGTTGGCCGGTTAAACCCTCCTTGGCTTCCAAGTCCCTCTTGCAACCTTACCAATACTATTTTGGGAATTCCTTTTAAAGGGATCTATAAGGATTACTCTAAGGGGCATTGTAGGGGTTTCGTATAGGGGCCTAAATAATTACCAATACGATTTCGGGCGCTCCTTATTATATTTGTAGTATAATGGGCCCCCAAAACCCTATTCTAACTGCTAAGGCCCCTTCCTGGCCTGACTCGATGCACAAACCCGAAATGCCCTGTATCCTACAAGCGACATGATGTAATGTGCGGGGCCTTACTTGTCCGAATTGGGTGTTGGGGTATACTACGCTGTAATCAGAATAAGGAGTCGTAAAGAAGAGTAGAATAGTATTGGCAAGTAGTCAAGCGCCTTCATTGGTCCAATGCCCGCGGCCAGGCCAGTGCAACGGCTTAGGGTTTAGGGGTTAGGGGTTGGGGTTTACGGTGTCCTGCTTTGATTGGAGACCGAAAGCGGCTTTGTGTTCTAGACGTGAGTAAGCCTTCAGCATTTGACACATGGGCGCGGGATGTGCACCCGGATATCAACAACATTTTAGCAAGCATGATGCGTCCAATAGCACGACCAAGAGTCACAAGCAAAAACGACAACGACTGCAACGTGCAACAACATGCAACAACAATCCCAGCATAGCCGCTAAACACCACGAATAGGCGAATAGGCTCCAGCATCAACGCCCTGAACCCGTACGCTTTCGAAGATACCACAAATAGGCTCTAAAATAATTAGACCCAAACCCTTAAGCCCACTCCTATAAAGCACCCTTTACTAGTACAGGTTGCCAAATTAGGGGTTTATATCTAGCTCCTCCATCAACACTAAACCCCTGAGCCCCTGAGCCCACAAGCCCCTCAAACCCGTAAACGCCTAAACCCCATAGATCACTGAAAGGAACCCTTAAAGGTACCCTTTACAGGAACCCTAAGAACCCTTTTAAGGTACCCTAAGACCCCGCGGGGTCTTCGCCAGGGCCTGCTCGAAGCACTCGTAGCGCGTGAAGAGGCCGAGCATCTCTTTGATCTCTCTCAGGCCGAAACTGAGACCTCAAAGCACACTTCTGTATACCATATACATAAAGGAATATGAAAAGAAATGTAAATACATATATATATATATATATATATAGATATATATATATATTATTGTAGTGGTATATTCTATATACTTCACCATATAATTATATACCACACACATTCTCTATTCTACTACATTGGACTATATTGCGCTGTATAATAATGTATTATAACTAAGTTCTCCTATATCATACTATAATGTGCTTATAGTACACTATGTTGCACTACCAGCTTGATCGATCGGGACTGACGCCAAGGGGGTTTGGGTTCGTCTTTTTCGTTGTTCCCTAAGGGGTTCATCACGGTTTGGGGTTTAGGGTTTGGGGGTTTGCAGTTTGGGGTTCAGGGTTTTCTTGTTTGAGGACCTTTTTCCAGTGCATGGAGAGCCTCAATGAGGAAAGCCCGGTTCAGACCACCTTAACTATGCCTGGGGTTCAGGGTTTAGGGTTTAGGGTTTGAAGGGTTGTAGGCCTTTGGGTTGGGGGTTTAGGGGGTTGGAATAAGCAAAATAGGGAAGTGGAATAAGGAACACGGGCCAGGAGCCTTGTTGTGGTGCTTCATCTGGGTTGGCCTTAAAACACCCTTGAAGATATCTGTATATAGGGTCCCTTATAAACCTAAATAAGGAAAATAGAAAATGTCCCAAAATCCTACCTAGTCATGGCTTTTATTCTCTGGAGGGTTGTACGAGTGCAGCAGCATCTTGCGGGATGCCGCATCTGCCGTGTGACAAAGCGGCAGGTCCTTTGGGATTCGGCTTTAGAAACTTGGCTTAGTATAGGTGCCTTAACAATTAGAGTAGGGTTTTGGGGCCCTTTATACTATAACTACGATAAGGAAGCCTCCAAAAAGTATAGGTAATTTTTTAGGCCCCTATAGTAAGTAGGCTCCAGGGTTTAGAGTCTTAAAACTTTCGGGCCTCGTCCTACCACGAAACGAAACCGAACGCACGCACAGATAACACGGCTTTGAGAGAGCACCACGCTCTTAGGGTGCCGCCGTCTAGGTGGAGATCATGTATTCGCTCGCCCTCGATCATGTTCATGACATACCTGGCAATCGGCGGGAGTCGGGGGGGGGGGGTCGTAACAAGGAGCCGAAGGAGGGCGAGAGTTCAAGGGGTTTAGGGTTTAGGGTTGAGAGTATAGGGAGCGATTCCCCCACCCTATGAGATCCAAACTGACATCACCCGGGACATAATCATAAGGCGATATTGTATGAATACAGATTATCGCCGAATTATGTAATAGTGACTATATGTGGTGCTTACGCTTCATGTTATAAATCCTGCATTACCCACAACAAGGAATATACCATAACTCCCATAGTTTAGGGTCGTTGAGGTAATGTAGGATTTGCACCATCAATCGTCGTGACTACAAGTGGGTTTTTGCTGTTTTGATTATGCCAAACCTGAACTCGCAGCTGGCCTCAATAATTAGAAAAGGGTTTTGGGGCGCATTATACTATCATAGCTCCCAAGATAGTATAGGTAATTATTAAGGACCCTAGATTAAGTGTGTTGTGTTTCGATATACTATACCCAACCTGAACCGTGTAGATCCCTTTAAGGAACCCTTATAGAAAACCCCTATAGATCCCTTTCAGGAACCCTCATAGAAACTCCTATAGATCCCTTTAAGGAACCCTCATAGAAACCCCTATAGATCCCTTTAAGGAACCCTCATAGAAACTCCTATAGATCCCTTTGAGGAACCCCAGAGACTCCCCCAGCTGGCCTCATGAGGGCCCTCGACTTGAAGGACTCAAACATCTGCGTCCGGCCGAAGAGAGACATATTCCTGCGGGTACGGCTTATAGGGTTAGGATTCGTTTAAAGGTTACTATAAGGGTTCCTTTAAGGGATCTATAGGGTTAGGGTTCAGTGTTTAGGGGCCTGCTGGTTTAGGGTTTAGGGCGTTTAGGGTTAGGAACGCTTAGGGCTAGGGGTGCTATTGGTTCAGGGCAGTCAATTACAAAGTCTGCCGGTCATCTCAGTAGTTAAAGCGCCTCGTTCTCCGAATGTTTTGGCTTTAAGGCCCAGTCCGACAGTACGGCTAAGGCAAACAGACACCCTAAACCCCCAAAACTCAACCCTAAACCGCAAACCGCCCCAACACCCCAAGTATAAGGGCAGCTAGGTAATCCTGCTTCCCAGAGATCTCCAACTGTCCGCATTATCCAGCACAATAAACAGTAAATAACAATGGTGGTTGTGTTATGGTGTTAGTTTCACAAAACGGGCTGCTGCAGCATCATCATGCTAATTCAGCTGACTTCTGAAGCCCTCCTAAAAGTGTCCCGCTTCGCCTACTTATTATAGTTCATATAGAAACCCAGAAAGTTCAAGGCTTAAGAGCCAACCAGAAGAACATCATGATACATGGTAGCTAAAACCGGGCTCTTCAACTTTCTTCTTCGACAAACGGGCCCCAAAAAGTTCAAACTTTCTGAGATAGAGCTAATATATAAGGCCAAAAGTTTAAAGCGCGACGTGGAATAAGCTGCGTCCCCAGCGAAAGGCGTGAGACGAGCTTCGCGAATTTGCGAATTAAGCCCAGAAAGTTTAAAGTTCCCCCGTTCACTATCTAAGGTACTACTACTACCCCTAAACCCTAAACCCTATAAACCCTAAACCCTAAACCCCTAAACCTAAACCCGGGCTCTTCAATGAACTGCCAGAGTTTCTGGCTGCCAGGCTCCTCTGGCGCATGGCGGACACCAGCGCGTTCGACTTCGAGAGGTCCTTGGGATGTCCCCACTCTGTAATAGTGTAATTATAAGACTTATATTGAGGCCCTATTATATTCCTATTCTACCACTATTACAGGGTGGGGGCCCCTTCTAAGGTTTGGGGGTCGATAACAGCGTGTAGGGTCAAGGGTTTAGCTCCAAGTGCGCCAAAACCCCCCCAGCCCTGATGCCAAAATAAGATCCGAGGAGCCTCATGCCCCCTCATAAACCTTGCACATAAATAAATGTATATACGCTTATTTGTTTGTTTATTTGTTTATTGATTAATTTATTTGTATGCATATCTACATTTATATAGCCCGAAATCCTAAACCCTTAACCCTAAATATGACCTGACAACATCGAAATAAGCCAGAGCACCCCAAGGTAGGCATCGCTTCGCTGCTGCCCTTCGTGAAGCATCGCCAAGAGCCTTGGAAAAAGGCGATTAGGAGTTAGGGTTTAGGGTTTAGGGATTAGGGGTTTGGGTTTAGGGTTTGTCATCTTCTTCGTGGTTTTGGATTGGATCTCTACGTTTCTTTTCGTCCTTTAGGGCTGGGAGTTTGAGTTGTTGTTCTGAAGTCTTTAGGGCTGAAATTCATGTTTGTCTTCTACGGTTTAGGGGTTCGGGCTTGACGTTGAGTGCTTAGGGTCTGGGGTTGAGGATTCAGGGTGATGTGTCTGTTGAAGACGTGCATTCTCAAACAGCTGCATCAGGGTTTCGGGCTTCGACATTTGGAGTTTAGGCTCGAGTCTTAGGGTTTGTGGTCAGGCAGGATTTTGGGCAATCTTTTGGCGCAGAAATTCCTGTCCGGGAGTTAGGACTTTGGGGCTTTGGGTGTCAGTACATTCAAGTGCCGTTATGTTTAGGATTGTGGGGCTCATGGCTTCTATGATTTCGGGTTAGACGGAGACCACTATTAGTACTATTAGTACCTAACACCTCAACTGGAGGAGTAAATTCAGGTCTACAGGCATTGCGATGCTTGCTCAAGACGGGCAACACTACTCATACTCACACGGCCATTGCGAGTAGTGCTTTTGTAGCTGCTCTTGCTGCACAACCCCCCTAAAGGATCTTTAGAACAGAGCGTCCGACAAGGTATCGTATTACTGGGCTTGTCAGGCTATGGCTGCTATACTGTTATCCTACTTGTCGGGCCCATCATGGGGAACTAAAGGTTAACCTTCTTGCGTATATAGGGATTATATAGGGGCTATACTCCGAAAAATGGTGAAAGGTTCCCTACTCTACTACTAGGTTATCAGATCAGCACCACAGTATCACACTCACTTTGCGTGACTGACGCCCCATGACTGCTATACTTTTATCGGATCAGCACCACAGTATCACACTTACTTTGCCTGACTGACGCCCTCGTCCCCCTGAGCCCGGATCTGTGCGATCTTCTCGATCATGGGCGGCACCGGATTCCGTGCCTCGGAGACAAACGGCAGTCGCAAACCCTAAAATCAAAAAAACCCAAGACCCCGAAAACCTACAGAACCTCTCCTTCTGCCTTATAACAACGCTTGCGAAGCCAAGTCCGTGAAACCCCTGTGAACATAGAATACTTAATCCCCTTCTGCAAAACCTGAAAAAGAGCGTTACGACAAACCTCCACAAAGCCCTTTTAGAGCCTTTCGCCCTAGGCCCTTCTCGGGATCACCACAAAAGGCAACGTCCCCTCATACCCGGCCTGCTGCGCTTCGTAGAGGAACTCATTCACCTTCGGGGTGTCTTACTGGGATTTAGGGTTCGGCGTTTTTTGGTGGCATCGTCGGGGCTTTTCTCAGTGTGTTTGGCAGGGTTCTGATCTGGCTATAACGGCTCTATAAGGAGGAATACAATTCTTTATTTATAAGGGCCTTGGCCGGGATGCATGAGATTCTCAACACGGGTCTTGTTATGTCCTGTAGATTTTGCTACTGTTTGTTAACAGGGGTCAAAAAAGTCTTGCAAGTGCTCTGTTTTATACTTTGGGGCTTTCGAACCGTCTGTGCTTCTAAAGTGTCCCCTATAACACCACTCATGGAACCTATAGTATAGCAATCCCTACAGTAGCCAACGACGAGTCTATGGAGCTACTTCACTGCCACACGGGAGACTTAAACCCTACAAAGCCCTGTGAAAATCCAGGAAAACACCGAGAATACCCTATCTATAAAACCCTCATGGAACCCGAAACGTCCTGAACCCCGGGTTAGACCCTAAACCTTAAGCCCTAGACCCCCTAAACCCTAGACATAGACCCTACTTGGAGGATCATGGGACTTAGTAAGCAAGGTTATAACAAAGGTAACTATACTTGTAACTACTGGTAGCCCCAATTGAGTTAACTTATAACCTTGCTTACTAAGTCGCAGGATCCTCCAAGTAGGCCCTAAACCCTCAACCCTATAGATCCATTTAAGGAACCCCTTAGATCCCTTTAAGGAACCCAATAGATCCCTTTAAGGAGCCCTTTAAAGGAACCCTATAGACCCCAAAACCCCACAGTCAAGCCCGAGAGCCTGCAGCTTCTCTAGGAGGTCTGACTCCGTCGATTGGATGAGGATGGGCCGCTGCCTGGCGGTTTAGGGTTTAGGGCTTAAGGTTTAGGGCCTAAGGTTTAGGGTTTAGGGCTTAAGGTTTAGGGTTTAGGGCTTAAGGTTTAGGGCTTAAGGTTTAGGGTTCAGGGTTGAGGGATTAAGGTTTAGGGTTTAGGGTTTAGGGGTTTAAAAGTGTTGGAGCTATGGTTTCGGGGGTCTGTGTCTCGGGTTTCTAGGTGTTACGATTTAGAGTTCGGTTGGTTCATATTTGGGGGCTTTTAGGGTCTTGATCCCGGGTGTTACCTTATGGATCACACTTGTGGTTTCGGGGCTAGGGTTCAGGATTTAAGCTGCTGTGTCATGTACACCCGTCTCTACTTTCCAATAGAGACTACTTGGAGGCCCTGTTGACTTAGTAAGTCTACTTAGTATCCCCTAGAAACCCTATTGTAATCCCCATAACCCACCTTACTAACCCTACTTACTAAGTCAAAAGGGCCTCCAAGTATAACTGTAACAGTGACCTATCATATGAACGGTACCAAGATTTAATGCTACTCCGCGTAGGCAGGGCGTGGCCGTCTTACGCTCTGCCCGGGCCTTCCAGCTTCGTCGAGCACATCCTCGCGCTTGATGTACCTGCCATGGGCGGCTGTCCATACTACCAGACCCTAAACCCGAAACCCCTAAACCTCAACCCTGATTGCATCGGTGGCTTGTGGATCTCGCAGAAGTCTAAGGGCGTCATGAATGTTTAGGAGCTGCCCTTTCTCTTCTTAGTTGCTGAGTTCACAAGCCCCCAAAAGTGTACACTTTTAGTTTTATGGTGGGTAATATTATTCCACAAAGTGTGAAGTGTATCCACTCAGCTACTAAGCTTTGGTAGGGCACTCCAGCTCCTTCTTGAAGGCTTCGGTGTCATTGACGGTTGTGGCGGCCTGAAACAGAAGCAAAGCAGGGTACACTCTTTCCTACTTGTCGGGTATCATAGGGAACTAAAGGTCAACCTTTTGGGTTATATAGAGATTACATAGGGACTATACTACCCAAAAAAGTTAAAGGTTACCTACTCTACTGCTAGGCTTTGCATTGCTCGAGCGCTGAGACCTAGCTCACTCTTGGGTTCGGGTGGACAGGTTTGTGGTTTTAGTATTGGGGGGGGGGGGGGGGGGGGGGGGGGGGGGGGTTGGAAGAAGGACTGTAAGTTGGGGTTTGGGGTGTAAGGATTTACTCTGGCATCCCATCCCTGCCTGCCGAAAGCAGTGCCCTGCAAAATAGCCGCAACAAGCCATAAAAAGCTCCAATCCTCTGAAACCCTTAATTTGCTGTCTGGGTTGAGGATTTTACTTTACTAAACCCCAAACCCTAAACCGTAAACCCTGAACCTTAAACCCTAAACTCTAAACCTTACACCCAACTTTACTAAACCCTAAGCCCTAAACCCTAAACCCTCTAAACCCTAAACCCTCTAAACCCTAAACCCTCTAAACCCTAAACCCTCTAAACCCTAAACCCTCTAAACCCTCTCTACCCTCTAAACCCTCTAAACCCTCTCGACCCTCTCGACCCTCTAAACCCTAAACCCTCTAAACCCTCTAAACACTCTAAACCCTCTAAACCCTCTAAACCTTCGACACTGCCCCAAGCAACGCGCCTTCTCCTCAAACGAATCGATCTCATCTCGTAACCTGCAGTCCAATAATCCCATTAATCAATGGATATACTTTAAGTTATAGTAGGATCCCTGATATGACGTAAGGAATATTCCTGAAATTATAGTAGGATCCCGAATATGATTTAAGGAATATTGCTAATTAAGGGATATTGGAGTCTCTGGGAAGCATGAACGGAGGATGGCGCACTTAGAGGTCCAGGGGGGCTTAGTAAGTCCGGCATAAGTAGGGTTATAATTGGAGTAACTCCGTTTAGGTATTCATAACTCTACTTATAACCTACTTACTGGGTCCCCTGGGCATGAGTAGGCTGCAGGTCCGAGCCCGAGGGCCCTGCCTGCTGTTCTCACCAGAAAGCTCCTTGGCTTTTAGGGCTTTGGGTTTCAGAGAATTTAGGGCATTTAGAGCACAGGTATTTTTGGGGTCTTACAAGGGGGCTCCCCTATCGCCGAAAAGAGGCCGTAGAAGGCGTTTTAGGGTTAGCACAGGGTCTTGTAAGGGCTTTCCTAAGGGGTTTGTAGAAGAGGTTTATTATGGCCACGGGTTCTAGGAGGGTTCTACCAAGGCTCCAGGAGTTTTTTTGGTGTATTGGGGCTGTTACATAGCGGGTTCAGTGTCTTCAGTCTTGTTCCTCCTTAACTGAAAGGTTGTCAACCTCCGTTATGAGACGAATACAAGAGCACCAGGGCGTGCAGCCATTGAAAGATGCTTGGGTCAAGCGCTTATAGGGTCAAAGGCATACCTCGCGGGGCTTCTAGGCTTGCATAATTCGGGATCTAGAGAGCGTAGTACAATCTGAGCACTTGCAGCTTCCGCCGTTCCTTGCAAGCTGTGCTTGCCGTACTCTGCTTAGGGCTTATAGTGTTTAGGCTTTCCAGTTAGAGTACAGGGCTTTGGGTTTAGGGTTTCGCCTTAGAGAGTTTCAGGTTAAGGCTTTGGAGTGGGACGGGCGGGCAAATGCTGCGCCGTTCCGAAACCAACATCCATCTCGCATGCTGCTCAGCGTCGCTGGCTTTGTCAGCGACTTTCCTGATCTCCACCTGGCCGGTGTTTAAAGACTAGACCTAAGAGTAACCCAGGAACAAAAAGGGTGTCCTTTTGGTTTAAAGGGGGTTATAAAGGAATCTGAACCCGAAAAAACATGGAATAAGGGCTTACTTTGGGTCCTTGAAGAGGATCGGGGGACTTCCAAGTAGATTTTGTGTAGGGCTGGAATCTAGAAGTAGGGTAAACACACCAGCTGAAAGACCCAACTTTCCCCTGAAAGCCTCATAAGAAGGATCTCCTCATTGATTCAAGTGACCCTGGCATCCTCTAGGGATAGTATTGGACGATCTGTCTGTCGCAAATTCCATCCGTAAATCGCTTTCGCAAAGAAGTCGCCCTATGTCTTCGTCTTGTGGGCTGTAGAGCTGTCAAACCGCTTTCAGGTTATTGTCACATCCCACGACACAATCAGTATAGGCCAGCAGCTATCGTCCAGCTCCATGTAAGTCTGCTCAAGGATTTAGGGTTTAGGGTTTAGGGGTTTAGGGGTTTAGGGGGTTTAGGGTTTATCCACCTAGTCTAACGAATGCGATATCCCAGCAGTGCAACAGCGCTGCGCGGTCATGCGGCTAGCCATTGCATCGAAACCATGACTTCCGTGCTTGACCCAAAACCTCAAACCTTAAACCCTAAGCCCTATAGATCCCCTTAAAGGAACCCGTTTAGCACCCTCTAAAGAAACACTGAACCCCAAACCTTAAACCCCGAACGCAAAAGCAAAGACTGCATTCACTCACGACCTGCCTTAAGAGAAGATTTCTCCTCTTCCTGGCCGTCGATTCCTGCCAGCTCCCCTCTTCGGGACTGCACTTCTAGCAGGGCTTGGGCTCGGGATTCGGGACTGAGGGCTTGAAGCTTCAGGTTTAGGGTTTTGGGTTTAGGGCTTAGGTTTAGGGCTAGGGTTTAGGACTAAGGGCTTGAAACTTCAGGTTTAGTTTAGGGTTTGGGAGTCAGGATTACGGGTTTAAAGCTTCAGGTTTAGCACGACATCATGCAGCAGGAAGATGCCAGCAAGAGCTGCAAGCAACTTGCAACAGCTGCCAATCGCGGCGGGCAGACGACTGGCCAGGTAGGCGTTCTGAGTCTGCAGCTGACCTCGAAGATCGGGCGCTACAACGGCTCTCAGCAGTCTCTCTTTCCTGTGCCCTTGACCCACACAAAAGTCACCATAATTGATGTATATGCAGATACATAAACCCATACATAAATACATACATACGTACATGCACACATACATATACTATATATATGTATATATATATATATGCACATTCTTGTTAGTATGCACATAGTGTGTAGATACAGCAAATGATGTACAATATTGTACAACATAGTAGATTACATCTAAGACTGCCTGCCTGATGTAACTGGGACCACGCGCCTACGCGGTCATTCAGCTCGGAGATCTCTTTCTCTGCCTGGCAGTGGACTCCGTGAAGCTTGGGGTGTTATATACATATATAGATGCATATACACATATACATGCATAAATATGTATAGAAATATTTGTGTGTACATACATACATACATACATATATATATATATGTATACATAATTATACGGAGACCTTAGTGTTACTGGTGATACTTGTTGGATGTATCACTGTGACCATATACGGACTCTAAGGAAGTATAGTTACTCACCACTTGGTTACGGTTGTATAGGGGCTATTTGCCATATCATTACCCATCTGCTATGGGTTTAACGCTTCACCAGATTGCATCTCCCATATGCACGGGTCGTTCCACGCCATGAGAGCGTGCCTGTCAGCATGAACCACCTCACCACCAACCCCAACCCGCAACGCAAAGAAGGCTACAAAACTCCCATCATGGAATCCCGATACCCTAAACCCTGTAGCAACACCTCATCAAACCCTTGCTTGAAAAGACTACAACCCCGAGAAGCTTGTGAAACCCCGTTGAAAAACCTGGCAACCTAAAACGAACCCATGGCCTTCTCCTGGGCTCCCTGGGACACAGTCACGTTGTCCTCTATCTTCTTGTTCTTCCTGGGCGCTTTAAGGCTTTCATGTAGGGGCCTTAATAATAATAATAATAATAATAATAATAATAATTGGGATTTGGGGGATATTATGATAACCAAAATCAGGAACCCCAAAACCCCATTCTAATCATTTAGGCCCCTACAGTAGGCAGGCCTCTCTCTGCTCTAGGGTTGAGGGCTTTGGGGAGCTTTAGAAAGGGCTTTGGGTTTTGGGTTTAGGGCACTTTGATGCGGTTTCAAAGGGTTCTATGGATGGGCGTTTAGGGAGCTTTGATGGGGCATTAAAGAGCCTACAAGGTTTAGGCTAGGGGTTTAGGGCTTGCAAACTTTGCCAGTCCTCATGCACATTCTGGGAGTCCTTGTTACGTGTTCTGTACCCACATTCCCAAACCCTAAACCCCTGAACCTCTGAACCCTAAAACCTAAATCCAAACTTATGTTGACTGCACTGTGGCAGCTGGAGAATCCGAAGGCCAACATAGCCCGAGTGACGAGGGTTTAGGCGTTAAGGTCTCTTAAAGAATCAGCTTAGCAGCAACCCTAAACCCTAAACCCTAAACCCCTAAACCCTAAACCCTAAACCCTAAACCCCTAAACCCCTAAACCCTAAACCCTAAACCCTAAACCCTAAACCCTAAACCCAAAACCTTGAACCCTAAACCCTAAACCGGGTTTCGGTTTTCAAGCTCAGGGTCCCAGGGTTTTGGCTTCCGGGTCGTTGCGGGGTTTGGCCGGGTACTTGGAGGCCCTTTTGACTTAGTAAGTAAGGGTTCCTTTAAAGGGGTCCTAAAAGGGATCTATAGGGGTTCCTTAAAGGGATCTATAGGGTTTAGGGTTTAGGGGGTACTTGGAGGCCCTTTTGACTTAGTAAGTAGGGTTAGTAAGGTGGGTTATGGGGATTATAATGGGGTTTCTAGGGGATACTAAGTAGACTTACTAAGTCAACAGGGCCTCCAAGCAGGGTTTTGGCTTCCGGGTCTTTGCGGGGTTTGGCCGGGTAGAGCTTAGCATCGGAATTCGTTCTGAAGCCGAGTCGCTTTTTCAGCACCACCGCCTTTCAGAGTCAGGTGATGCAGGGATTTAGGGGTTTGGGGCTTAGGATTAGGAACCCCAGGCCTTCCAAAACCCCTGGGAATGAGGAATGCACATGAATTCTTACGAGGGATCCTAGTATAATTTAAGGTATATCCCTTAATTAAGGGATTTTAAAAGGTCTGGGAGGGGCTCAGGCTTCGGAACTTCGGGATCTTCGACATGCAATCGCACACTGGAGTCCGGCGCACAACATGTGGGTGGTTGTCAAAATTAAACTCCGTTTTGGGATACCCTAAATATTAGGTGCCGTACTATATTAGAGACCCAAAAAGGGACCCTATTTTTGACAACCACCCATGTGTGCTGTGCAGTGTCTGCTAGATCCTTATGTTGTCTGGCCCCACCCCCTACAGACTCCAATGCCTGGATTGAGCCGACCCGAAACCTTGCTGTTCTCATGACACTCTCCAAATCACGCGGAACCATGCGCAGAACCCCGAGCAGCGAAACTATAGCCTGAACTTAAAAGCCCCGACTCACAAAGCCATAGCAGTGACAGCAACCACAATATCAATAATCCAAAGAAGAATACGAAAAATACGAGCAACAACAATATCAGTAGTGCGAAGAATAACAATACTAACAACAACAGTATCAAGATTCATTGCTATAGAAATCTAAACACCCCGAAAGGGAATGCACTCCAGAGCCACGACTGCCTCTTGCTCGGCTTCCTTGCGCTCCTGCTCGGCTAAGACCTCGGCGCTTTATCGGCTCCCATGGTTCACAGAGCTGCAAAGATACTTTCAATGGAGATCGAAGAGGCAAGAAGGCTGATCATACTGTATAAGAGCATTGATAGCTCTTGCTGTTACACAAGGTCATCAATCATGCTCTATAAGAGCACTGATCAGTTCAGAGCATTGATAGTTGTGGCTGTTAAGTATGAGTGTTGCCTGGCTTAATCTGACAATACTTGTCAGAATGCTGGTCGTGTTATCTCGGGCGACTTGAGACTTCGATGCTGGCATAGCCTTGCAGAAACGCCCCCTTTTCTGCGGGTGTCCCAAGCGCCATCACACGTGGCAGCGCGGGCATACATGGTGAGACGCTTGCCACCCAGGAGAGCAGAGGTGAGGGAATCCGATGACGGCCCTGTTTTGAAAACAAATGTTACATAGTGTCCTCTCAGTCCCAATCAGGGAAATAAAACAAGTTAGCCAGAAAAGGGCTTTCGAGTGAAGGTTGTAGTAGAGTTATACAGGGACTATAAGGGGCTAATACTAGTATCATCTTTCCGACACCACTAGTACTTTTACCGATCCCTACAGTACTGCAGAGAGGTGGGTCTGCAAATCATACCGTGCACAAAATTAGGGTGTTCAGCTTTAGGGTTTCAGGCTTTGGGGGGTTTCGGAGGACTACGAAAATCGAAGCACCAATGTGCCTGCTAGACTGCTGTAGAATCTGTCCCTGACTGCTGCCTTGCCTAGTTGGATCTAACTCGTCTGCAGCTTTTTCATTTTCCTTTGTAAAGTTTTGGGGCTCAAGGTTTGAGGTTTGAAGTTCCAGGGTCCGAGGGCTCATACCATGGGGGCGTTCATAATTAGAATAGGGTTTTGGGGCCCATTATACTATACTCATAATGAGGAACCCCCAAAATTGCTACGTTAGAACCAATACGATGTGGGTAGTCGGCCTCTGGCCGCCGGGGTGGCTCATGCAATCGCCAGACGTCACACGCACCCAAAGCAGGTCCATCGGAAGAGAACGTGGGCCGTGGGCCAACTGCAGCCCTTTCACTCTTGAGCACCCTAAACCCTAAACCCAAAACCCAAAACCCTAAACCCTAAACCCTACACTGTAGGCAGCGCTAAGCAGAAGAAAGACTCTGGGGTTTAGGGCTCAGGGTTAAGGGTGTTGGGCATAAACCTCCTGGCACACTGGCACAGGCTCTTCTGATGTCATTCGCTTCTGGTGCACATTGTGAGCTAACAGCCCAGCGATCGCTCTTGCATTATCCTCGACATGAAATATACCGAAAACTCGAGCTAATGGCAGCTAAACTGAGGCAGCAGAACTCTGCATGGACACCTTGAGATCCGTCGCAATCCGGCTCTTAACTCCGGCCCATGACGCCCCAGACTTTCTTCATGTGGTGCTGGTGGTACTCCTCTGCGTCATGCCAATCCTGAGACTCCAGTGCTTGCTTGGAGGGTCTTTCGGGGGACTTAGTAGGGGCTCCTTTAAAGGGGATCCTAGGGGCTTCCTTTAAAGGGCTCTATAGGGGTCGTATAGGGTTTGGGGGTTTAGGGACTTAGTAAGTAGGTAGTAAGTAGACTTATAAGTACCCTAAAAGGGAACCCTAATTGGGGTTTTGGTACTTATAAGTCCCTAAAATAACCAGGTTGCTAAGTCCCCCGACCCTCCAAGTAGGCTCCCTGGGCTTAAATATGCTGTTGGACCAGGGCTTTGGGCTACTAAACGAAATTATCCATGGGCTTCCTTTCAGGACTCTAGGTTCATATATGAACCTGATGAAGAAATCCTAGGTCTTTATCAGTTTTCTGAATCGGGTTCCTACATTGTTGAACTGTTCGTTTAGCGTTACTACAAATGGCTAATAGGGTGTTCTACACGTCCCCAACCCCCCCGGATGCAAACTGCTCCAGAACCCGCCAGGGAAAGAAAGGGCTTGTACCTTTGTTTTGTTTATGATGGCTTAGGGTTGCGGGTTTAAGCGCTAAACCTTTTACAAACCCCCACGACCTTTGTAAACCGTAAAAATCTCATTACGCCCGTCAAGCCTGTCATGAGTCGCGGTAGATACGACAGTAAGCAAACCTTGTTGCGCCCAGGTGCACGAACCGGCTCGACAGGCACTCGAACCTTCATGTGCTTGGGGGGTTTGGGGGTTCAGGGCTTAATACAGGGGTCGTAAGTCAAGTGTTAGAATAAGTCCCCTAGGGTTATAATGCTACGATGAATACATAAGGACCATAAGGGAATAGTGTTACTGCTTTTTTCCGACCCCTGTACTAGGGTCTTGAAGGCTTTAGGCTTGCGGGCCTAGGGCTTGGGGAGAGGATGGTCAGCTCAGCGAAGCTCCCCTTGAGGTGGAACTACTGAATGGAGGCCTGACTCATTGGAAATCATAGTCATTGGAGCATACAGGGTTTAGGGTTAAAGGGTGCTATAAAGTCTCGAATGGCAGCCGGTCCCATGTCGAAGCACTTGGGCCTGGAGCAATTTGGCTCCGCACTCGGAGTCGACACAAGTTAAAAAAACTAGTTTTTTGGATTCCATCAGGGTTTAGGGTTTAGTGGTTCAGGTAGGGTTACCTGTTCACGGGATTGAACATTGATGCTGCTTTTTTGACATTTTGCCAATCCCGCAGACCCTACACCCTTAAAACACCCTTAAAAACTCTAAACCCTACACCCCTAAGCCCTTAGCGCTTCTGGACTTTCTCGGCCATATTCCAGGCAAGGAGCAGGAAGTGGCGCATAGCGCCCAGACTCGTGTGCCTTCTGCACGGACTCCTAGCACAGGGCTCTCGTCATGGAAAAGATCTACCTATGGGAGCCTTGATAATAGGGTTTGTACTATTGCAGCTTGACCAGGTTTTGGTGCAGGTCTGGTAGTGCTTCCAACACTCGTAATGAACTTTCACGGAGTCCTTGCAGAATAACCCAGTATTTTACGGGAGCCAAAGGTTAACGATTATACAGGAACTATGATACCCCAAAAAACGTTAAAGATTGCCTACTCGACTATATACTAAGACCCCAAACCTTAAATCGAACTCAATCCTCAAGAGCGCTCCTCGGCCAAGGCCTTCTGCTCCGCATCGCTCACCTCACGGAAAAGCCGCGGCCGAAACCCTGGTAAACAAAACGCATAATCTTTCTTGTGCAAAACCCTGAGCATTAAAAAAAGCCTACAAACTGGATTCCCTGTAGATCCCTTTTGGAGGAACCTTTTCAACCCCACTTGGAGGCCCTGTTGACTTAGTAAGTCTACTTAGTATCCCCTAGAAACCCTATTATAATCCCCATAACCCACCTTACTAACCCTCCTTACTAAGTCAAAAGGGCCTCCAAGTAGAGCTCCCATGGTAGCCGAGGCACCCAAATCGCCGACTTGTACTGACACTTCGCGGCCGGGCCCACGTACCTTAAGTGGGGTTATAAGTAATTAGAAGTATAGTTACCTTATTTATAACCCTAGTTACTAAGATTTAAGTAGGAAGACAGGTAGGGCTCAGGGGCCTTTATCCTCAGAATTGGGATTTTGGTATAATATATATATATATATATATACATATTACGAGAATCATTAGGAAACCTCAAAATAGTATAGGTAATGATTAAAGCCCAGGCAAAGGGTTCTTTAGTAGGTCTCTATGAGGGCTCTAGGCTTCCACACAGGTTGCTAGGATAGGATTCCCGGAGTTTGCAGCTTAGGGTCCTTTCGGGTTCGACGCGATCCACGGGTTCGGCTCTAGGGTTTTGAAGCTTTACTTGGAGGGTCGGGGGACTTAGTAAGTAGGTAGGAAGTATACTTATAAGTACCCTAAAAGGGACCCTAACTGGGTTATGGTACTTATAAGTCCCTAAAATAACCAGTTACTAAGTCCCCCGACCCTCCAAGTAATGCCTCAGAGATCCCAATATCCCTTAAGTAAGGAATGTAGCTTAAATTGTAGAAGCCTTAATGCAATGATTGTTAAGGTATATTCCTTTAGCATGGGGTATTAGGATCTCTGGAATTAGCATTGTCGGTCCTTACCATTCCTTGATAACTTTATGCTACAAGACCCCCACAAAACCCTAAGACTGTTGGGGTGTAGCTTCCAGCGTCCCCCGAGTCTTATGCACAAACATCCACAAACACTAAACTCACCCTAAACCCTCCTAAACCCTAAACCCTAAACCTAAACCCTAAACTTAAACCCTAAACCCTAAACCTAAACCCTAAACCCACTAAAACGAACTAAAATCTTGAGTCATGGCCAGCTGCTGGTCCCAGTAGGCATCCAGGAGCTCCTTGTACGAGACCTGCTGCAGAGTTGAGTGGGGAAAAAGAGGGCACCAGAGTAGACTCCACTTTAGTAACTAGGGTTGTTATTGGGGAAACTATACTTATAATTACTTATAACCCCAATTAAGGGCCTTATAACCATAGTTACTAAGTCCCATGATCCTCCAAGTAGGCAGCTTCGAGCTGTTCGCAAAGCTGCGAGCCACGCCCTACAATGATTTCAAAAGCCCCTAAGCATCTAAAAACCCCAAACCCCACGCTAGTTCTCGAGTTCGCCCTTCTTCGTGGGCACGGCATGTGGGGCTAAATCAATATACAGACGTTTATAAACATCCTAGGTGTGGGTCTAAAACCAATATACAGACTTTAATAAACATCCCTGCTTGGAGGATCATGGGACTTAGTAAGTAAGGTTATAATAAGTAACTTAGTCGGGGTTACAAGTACTTATAAGTATAGTTACCTTATTTATAACCCCACTTACTACGTCCGTTGGTCCTTTAAGTGGACCCTAAACCCTAAACCCTATAGATCCCTTTAAGGAGCCCTTTAAAGGAACCCCACTTACTAAGTCCCATGGTCCTTTAGTCCCATGATCCTTTAAGTATGCAAAAAAGAGTCGTGCCTCTTTCGGGTTGTACTCCACGCGCACTGCCTCTGTGTGTCCATCGCCTTGCACGCAAGTTTGTTAACGACTTCCACTTGCAAGTGACAC